AAAAAAAATCGGAATTGAGCATCAAGGCCTGCAGTGTGAACGTAGCCTTAGTGTGGGACTAAATGTATTCTTTCAATTGTACTTTAATGCTGCAAGATTAACTGTGTAGTGCTTAGGTTTGGTGCTTTATTTTTTCAGGGTTAGTGGTCAAGGGTTAGGGCTTAGGGTTGGTGTTTAGGAGGTGGCTTAGAAACCAGCCAGAGGTTGAGCTCTTGTCATAAATTGAGACCCAGAGATTAAAGATTTTCTTGATTTATTGTTGGCTTTTTTTTGTATCTGCTGCAGATTACTCTTCTTGAAGTTGAGATCCCATCATGAGAGGGAGCAATTTGCCTTTTGCTCCATGAAAGGCTGTGAAAGAGTGAAGATCACGGCTACCATTCCAGAGGGAAGTCCACCCAGTAACTGCTTGGGCAAGGCCTACCCTAAGCATGCAGAGATTCCCGTTAGCGAAGCATTGATGCCCACAAAGATACCAAACAGTCAGCTAGTAAGTATCAGTTTAACCCTAACTCTAACATTTTGGTTTGCACTTTGATTTAAATGATAACCATCACTTAATAATAATAATAATACATTTGATTTATACTGCATTTTTTATCAAAAAGACCTCAAACTACTACAAAAAAGAAAAACATTAAAAAATAAATACTTAATAAATAATAATAAAAATAATGAAAAAAAATATTAAAAGCTGTTTTTAAAAAAAACTTCTTCCCACATGGATGGAAATAGGGACACGGTTTAGCAACTGAAAAGGAAAAAATTGATCTTTTACATAAATGGACCTTAACTTTTCCTGTGATGCTAGAAAGTCTTTCTAAAGCTTCTGCAGACTGCTAAACATGGACAACAGTGTCTTTGGTCAGAGGCTCCTAGAGCGTTCTGTGGGGCAGACCTCTACAGAAGATCATTCCTTACCTCAGCTTCTGCAACCCCTGGATGAATAAAAAGTGGATGAGTTATTAGTTTCTCTCTGGAATCAATAAAGTATTGATGACTTGAATAGAAATTAGATGAATTAAATTAAATTGAATCATGGATTCTCACAGCAGAAGCAAATGACCCTAACAATATAAAGTTTACTTTGTTCAGTAGAAAAATTGCAAGCAGCCATGTTGCTGCTCCTGTCGGCATCCATGTTGCTGCTCCTGGTAGCAGCCATATTGCTGCTCCTATCGGCATCCATGTTGCTGCTCCTGTCGGCAGCCATGTTGCTGCTCCTGTCGGCAGCCATGTTGCTGCTCCTGTCGGCAGCCAAGTTGCTGCTCCTGGTAGCAGCCATGTTGCTGCTCCTATCGGCAGCCATGTTGCTGCTCTTGGTAGCAGCCATGTTGCTGCTCCTGGTAGCAGCCATGTTGCTGCTCCTGGTAGCAGCCATGTTCCTGCGTCTGTCGGCAGCCATGTTGCTGCTCCTGGTAGCAGCCATGTTGCTGCTTCTGTCGGCAGCCATGTTGCTGCTCCTGGTAGCAGCCATGTTGCTGCTTCGGTCGGCAGCCATGTTACTGCTCCTGGTAGCAGCCATGTTGCTGCTCCTGGTAGCAGCCATGTTGCTGCTTCTGTCGGCAGCCGTGTTGCTGTTCCTATCGGCAGCCGTGTTGGTGCTCCTGTCGGCAGCGGTGTCGCTGCTCTTGTCGGAAGCCGTGTCACTGCTCCTGTCGGCAGCCGTGTCGCTGCTCCTTGTAGCAGCCATGTTGCTGCTTCTGTCGGCAGCCATGTTGCTGCTCCTGGTAGCAGCCATATTGCTGCTTCTGTCGGCAGCCATGTTGCTGCTTCTGTCGGCAGCCATGTTGCTGCTTCTGTCGGCAGCCATGTTGCTGCTCCTGGTAGCAGCCATATTGCTGCTCCTGGTAGCAGC